CACACACACACACACACACACACACACACACACACACACCTCACTCTGTTTTACTGTCTTAATAGCACACTTAGATGAAATCTTATTTCTTTATTTTCTCTCCTTCCACCCACCCCACTAGAATATCAGCCCTAAGAGCTCAGGGCCTGGCTATCTTCTTGCTCCTTATACATCCCCAGTGTCCAGAATACGGCCTTCCACCTAGTAGGTGCTTCATGAATACTTATGTCATTGAATTAAAATTGCCCTGAGGGGCAGGTTCCAGCCCACGGCTACGGCTGCTGTTGTTCATCCCAAAGGCTGGTGTTCTACTTCCCTGTTCTGCCCCAAGGACCTGGTGCCACCCTTTTCCTTCAGCCTGCAAGGTCTCAACACAGGCAGTGACCCAGGTTCACACATCTGGGCTTGACCTTTGTTCTGTGTTTCTATACCTGCCAGCAGCTGCTGTGCTCTCTGCCACCCTCAGTTCAGCTTCACTTAAGCTCATTTGCACCAACTCTCCTTCAAATATTTTTCAATCTATTTTAATACACAGTCTTACAAATTTTAACACACGCCTAGATTCATGCAACCATCACCACAATCAGAAAACCCCCCAAAACCCCATCATGCTTTGTAGGCACACAGCACCTCCACCCCTAACCCTTGGCATCCAATAATCTGCTGTCCATCACTTTAATTTTGCCTTTTTGAGACTGCCATATAACTATATTCATATAGTATCTACCCTTTGTGGCTGGCTTATTTTACTCAACATTACTCCCTTGAGATTCATCCAAGTTGCTGCATGGATCAATAGTTTGTTTGTTTGTATTTATTTCTCTATTTATTTATTTTATTTACTGAGTGTCATTTGCTTGTATGGCTGGCTGTACTGCAGTCGGTTTAGCTAATCACCTGTTGAACGACACTTGGGTTATTTCCAGTTTGGGGTGATTATAAATAACATGTACAAGGATGTTTCTTGCAGCATTGGGGACACATGAAGTTAGAGGCCATCTGCTCGCCAGTTCCCAACAGAGTGGACAGAGAACGTGGTGGATGAATGCCATGCAATACGAGGCAGCAGTTCGGGACCGTAAGGTTAGACAGCAATGGGACTTTCAAATATTGTGCTAAGAGAAGATTAAGCAACAGGGTGAGATATGTACAGCATTTGCACAAATTAAAAACACATGTATACAAAACAATAATACAAATTTTGTTGGAACACATACAAACAAAAAAGACATTAAATACTATTTGGAGGGACAGAAATGATTGATAGGGACAAAAAGAGAAACAAAATAGCATTTAAAGTTTCAATTTTTAGGGATAGATAAAAAAAAAAAACAGAATTAAAAATTGTAAAAAGAGGCTGGAAGATTTTCCTGGGTTGTGGAGTTGTGGAAAGACTCTTAGCCCTGACCTGAGGGATCTGAGTGAGTTAGGTCTGTGCTGTTATACTGTGAAATTTGTGTAATACTGTGTTGTTTATCTAGTACAATATTTACTTAGTTAGTTTATTTGGCCTTGCAATCACCTGAAAGGATCTCAAGTGGTCCAAAACCAGTTCCAGATTCCCTGTTTATGTTGTTTTCAAAGGCAGACTTCCCATCAACATGCCTGTCTCATTCAAGCCTTGGTTCTTCTCTCTCTCCCTCCCTCCCCCCACCCCCCTCTTTCTCTGGCCAGTGTTTGCAGCATTTATCCTGTTCAAGGTCTCTGAGAGCAGACAAGGCTCTGATTAGTCACATGAACCAATTGGTGCAGCCCTACCAGAGCAAGTTCTCCAATCAGGCCACTTCACAGGCAAATGGTCCAACCTACGAATGGCCTTTGGCTCAGGCAAGGGTCCCTAGCCAAAACAGATTATAGGACAAAGGTTTTTGGACTGTAAGACAAAATATGACTTTTTTCTTTTTCTCTCTCTCTTTTTTTTTTTTTTTTTTGCATAAGAAACAGCTTGCAGATGCTTCTCAGAAGAATGTTGTGAATCTTCCTGGCTCTTTACAATGTCGCTTACTCCATGACTGTGGTGTGGCATGTACCCTGGACAAAGGAGGCATTACTTGTGAAACTCCAAGGTCATAGGAATTAAAATATAGACCAACTAGATTGTATACCCAAACATGGGCAGGTTGGGGAGTGACAGGCTAGATAGCAGGAAGACAACAGGCTTTGGAGTCAGTTCATCTCTAAGGAAAATCCAGACCCTGTCACTTCTAAATGTGGAATTGTGGCATTTTATATCACAACCCTCTCACAGGACTGTGTGAGATAATGCATTCAAGTGCTTAGTATGGTGATTCCTACATAATAAGTGCTCAACATATTTTAGCTCAATTTCTTCCCCTCATATCTGACACATATTGAAGAGTGTTGATGAAGCCCACACAGCCTGTGTTTGAGTGAATAAAGAAGCTACAGGTATAGGCTGTTGTTTGCCTATCGCATGCCTATACTTTTTTCAAGTAGATTATTTTCCTCCAAGTTTTTGCATTAAAAATACAGTAATACCTTGGTTTGTGAGCATTATTAGTTCTGGAAACAAACTACTCATATTGCAAGACATCACTCGTTTACCAAGTTAGAATGTATTAGAAATGTTTGCTCATCTTGCAGAACACTCACAAACCAAGTTACTTGCAATCCAAGGTTTTATTGTAATTACTTCTGACTGTATTTGAATGTATTCATTTCCTTTCTTTCTCTTCCCTTCTCTGAGAATTGTAACTTAGGTCAAAACTGGAGAGCAGAGAGTGTGAGAGTCACTGAGCCAAAATAAGAGAACGTTAACAGCCTTTGACTGTTTAACGTACAAAACTTCTGTACCACTCGTGCAGAAAAATTGACTGGCTTCGAGACCACAGAAATAACCTCTATGAGTTTGCAACAACCACACCTGTCTTATATCCAAAGCTGCATCATTTCCCACCCTGAGTTCCAGGCTGATATTCTAGTAGATTGCTGGTGTAAAATCCAACTCTGCTTAACACTTTTGTGAACACCTGACCCCAATTATGATTTTGTGAAAGAGATTTTTTTCCTATGAAAATATTTACTTCACTTGTCCTCAACCTTTATGAACATTTCCAAGATCCTATGTTAGTTCATCTGGAAAACAAGTGAATATTCTCTTAAACAATTCATAGCCATACCTTTGGCTGCTAAAGCGATGGTTTTGAGCCAAAGAATCAATAACATGGTGTGCACTTTTACTTCACAAGTCCTTTTCCTGTTTTCACAGTAATGGGAGCTAGCGTCTGGAAGAAGTAAGGGCTCCTGGCACTGCAAAGCCCTGCCATCTGTGAGGGTGGGGCAGGGGAAGCCTGGAGAGGCACCGCAGGGGCCCAGTGCAGCCAAGTGTTTTTACCAGGTAAATAAGTCAGCAGAAAAATATGTGTACATTGTATATTACAGAACACTCTCATCCATTCTATTTCATTGAGCATTAATTGCACTTACTAAGACACATGTGTCTTAAAAAGGAATGAATGGGGCCAGCCAAGTGGCGCGATGGTTAAGAGCTGGCTTGGGATGCCAGAGGGCCCCAGTTTGGATCCCACATATGAGGGCCAGTGACACTGCCCTCTACAGCTAAGATGCTGAACAATAGCTCTACCTGGAGCTGGGCTGCCATGAGTCACCAGCGTGGGCAGGTGGGTTGCCATGGACTACCGTGTGTAGCCAGCAGCCAGCGTGAGCAGCCAGCAGCTGCTGTGAGTGACCATCCAGAAGCCAGTGACTGATCTGCCTCGCCCAGGAAGAGCGCAATGATGATGCCAACTTGGGCCAGTGAAGCAACGTCCTCCACAACTAGACTGAAGAACAAAAGGATAGCAACTTGTCTGTTCCCCTTCCCCCAATTCCCCAATAAAAAATAAAATAAAATAAAATAAAATGAATGAATGAATGTGTATCAACCTAATTAAAAACAAAGATTTTCATGTAAAAAAAAAAAAAAGAGGAGCGGCCAGTTAGCTCAGGTGGTTAGAGCGCAGTGTTAATAACACCAAGATTGCAAGTTCGATCCCCGCATAAGCCACTGAGCTGTGCCCTCCACAACTAGATTGAAACAACTACTTGACTTGGAGTTGATGGGTCCTGGAAAAACACACTGTTCCCAATAAAGTTAAAAAAAAATGAATGAATGAAATACTCAAGGGAAAGGATTGGTGTGCTGTTAAGGAGGAAAAAAACATGTCCTGCATTTTTTAGATGAAGCAGAAATACAAGGTCACAGTCTTAAAAGCATCAATCTATTCAATCTTTCAAAGTTAAAAATTAATTTCCATTATTTTCACATTGGTTGTTGCTTGCTGTTAAAAATTAATTTCTGTGTTGGTTCTTACAAATTCAAAAATATAGAGATAAGGAATTTCATAGGAAACTGGGTACTGAAAACCTACTTCAAAAAGAAAAGAAAGAGGGCCGGCCAAATGGCGCGTTGGTTAAGGGTTGGCATGGGACGTCAGCTCTGAGCAGCAGGGCCCCAGTTCAGATCCCACAGGGGGGCCAGTGACACTGCCCTCTACAGCTAAGATGGTGAACAACAGCTCGACCTGGGGCTGGGCTGACGTGAGTCGCCTGCGACGGCATAGGCTGCAGTGGAGCTGCAGTGGGCTGCCATAAGCTACTGTGAGTGGCCGGCAGACAGTGTGAGCTGCCGTGAGCTGCCATAAGCAGCCGTCCAGAGGCCAGCGACTGATCTGCCTCACCAGGGAAGAGCGCAATGATAATACCAACATGGGCCAGTGAAGCAATGTCCTCCACAACTAGACTGAAGAACAAAAGGACAGCAAATTGTCTGTTCCCCTTCCCCGATTCCCCAATGCTGTTCCCCTGCCCCAATTCCCCAATAAAATCTTTAAAAAAAAAAAAAGCAGCTTAAAATGTAGACTAGCCAAATAAAATGTTTTCAGTGCAACATTTTAATTCAAGCACTTATAAAGAGTAGTTGAAATGAATAGATGCATTAGACTATATTTGCTACAGTGTAAAGTAAAACTTCATGACAATATTATGAAAGTGATTTTTATTATTTTGGTAATAGTGTACTTTTATAGGTAAATCACAGATACAGATTTCTTTAATTTGGTATATCAAACAGTAAAAGCTATGTATGAATGCTGTGTCCCCAAAATCTATTTCAAGTACAATTATGCATTATATTTGCTATGTACATATTAAAAGCATACATGGTAAAATACAAAAATAAGAAAAGGTTAAATAAGAAGTTATTCTTGAGTTATAAAACATCTAATAAAGAATACATTTTTATCACACAGCTGTGTGTCATAGCTAAAATCACACAAGCTAATATATAATGCTATGCAATTATTTGATCTAATATAGATCTAATATGAAAAATATTAAGGCTGTAATAATAATTCACAGATAAAGGCTAAGTTCTGAGACATGAAAGCTTTTAGATAATCCACAAAACAAACCTGAGACATCATTTTGTTTTGGAAAAAAAGCAATTTTCTTACAGAGTCAAAGCTTTACTATATGAATGAAGCATTTAATAAACAATATACTTTATTGCAATAACCTGGAGTAGATGTTCTGACTAGAATGGTGACCATTTTATTTCTCTGGCAGAAATAAAATGAGGTTTTCTGATTAAGCCATAGCGTGATTACTGTAGCCTCCAAATTTGGTTATTTTTGTTTTTGGTTTTGCTTTCCTTCCTTTCACTAGGTCATAAACATATTAAATAAACCAGCTAAACTCCAAGTGCCCACCTTCCTTTTTTCCGTATAAGCTCAGCTTTTCCATTGCTAAAAGCACCAGATGAACGGAGCCCACATATGTAAAAGGGACACAAAAACAGGTTATTTAGCACATCTGGATCTGGTTGACTTAATGAGGCATCCAGATTGGTACATGATTGCTTTTGCTGCCACACACACACCTCTCAGAATAAGTAGGCTGAGTTAGCAGCCCAAATTCACTGCCTCAGCCCTGCTGGGGGATGGGACATTGGGTGGGGGTAATAATATTTTGGAGTTGCCAGTGCCAAAAAAATGTAAATGTATTGGGTAAGCCCAATTTCTATTGTTGACTTGAGTGCCTTTTAAAGCACTGCCACAGTATTTCCTATCAAAGAGGTATAGCTATGAGATCCTATTAATTAAAAGTATGTGAAATTTTACCTAATAAAAATTTCAAATTACAATGTAAATTTCAAATTTCAAATTGCTACATGTAGATTTTTTTAAGTCTATTTGGGATGTAACACTGGCACACAAAACATCTTTGTTCTAAATTGTCATACTTCAAATTAATAAATTTGGAATGAGTGGGGAAATGTTGGACCATCTCTCTTCTTTTTCGCTTTTTAATTCTTTTTTCTTACCAACCCCCCCCACACACACACACACACAACCATTACACTCCTTCCTTTATAATTCTGATAAAAAGATTCCAAAAAATTAATAAAATGTAACAAGCCGTAAACTTTTAGGACACTGCACAACTTCCTTTGGACGTTAATATGCAATAAAAGTTAAAACTTCAAACTTCACTTTGTACTTTCACACTCTGCCAACATTTTAAGGTTTTCAGGTTATTTACATAAACTGAACATATATGCTTTGTTCAAGCTTTATGTTTTCACAGTTACAAAAGAGACCGCTCTCTGATTTGCCAATCTTAACTAAGTACAGCTGATCAGATCACCTCCACTGGTATATGATGCAACTCTCAAAACAGCCTCCCAAGACTACCTCCTGATTCCGACTTTCCACAACAGTGACATTAATGCTATTTTTAAAAAGCATTTAAAAGAAAAGAGAACATCCTGATAATTTGTTGCATTTTTCACTATTCACCAGGCAAACACAGGTTAAATTTTTCTGCTTTCCACAGGTTAATGGTCAGGTTTCCAGTAATGTCTACTGGAACTCAATAATCAGAATGTCTTTAAAATTAAATTAAAATGTCAGCATGCCAAAGTTTGGAATTATATTAACTAGATCAATTTTCAAAAACAGATTCTGTATTATGAATACAATCACAATATATTGTAAAGTAATAAGGAACACATCTTACAGATCCAATTTTTATATTTTTCCATTTGCGTACAAGTTTTGGATGAGAGAAAATGATTTTACTTCAACCTGGTTATCATGATGCCAAAAAAAAAAAATAGGCAATTGATTTAATCAAGCTCATTTCATGTTTCTGAGCCAAAATTAGTTGAATTGGTTGTACTATTCAATTTGCTATGATATTATAAAAGACATACATTATTCAACCTTTTCTTGACCAAAATAATTAATACTATTTAATAATAAAATAACTAATACATATGTTTATGAATCATCATATATGTATACATATTGAATACTATTTGGTGACTTTTTTTTAACCTATGAGACATACTGAAAGCTGTATTGCGATTACATAATTTAAAGCTTAACCGGGCTGGTAAATTTGTTCTTTTTTTGTTTTGGGGTTGTCTTTTTTATCCTCATAATTGAAATTCTGTACTTTGGCAACCAACACAGCTTGACATTTTTTACAATTTAACAACTTACACTTTAAAATTCATGATAAATCACTGAAACCTACTATATGACTAAACCAACTATCGATACTACCAATTTCTTTTTGAGCGAATGACTTTGTGAGTCATCCAATAAAGTAAGAGAAAGCACATCAGTAGGCAAAAAGATAAATTCACCCATAGATACCAGCGCCTGCCTAAGCTACTTTATTGAAAAGGTGAGAAGGGAATTTCTGATCTTACCTTTTCTTCCTCACCCACAATCATATGACTTACACTGTAATTATTTGCCTTTGCATATTTAACAATATGTTCTGAAACTTTGCTTAACATAGTTTTCTATGGAGATTTTAGCACAAAGAACATCATTCTTGGATGCCACCCACAAAGGCATGGTATTAGAAGTAGCTCTCCACTAGGTAATTTTGCATGTGTATACATGGAGTTTTAATTCCAAAGAGTGCTCCCTCAAGAAGTGACTATTATAGCATTCAGTCAATGTATAAAAACTCTTTGAGCCCTTTAACTCTGACTCAAAAGAATCTTTCCAGAGCTCCTGCAGAGCCCAGTGCTCATCTGAGGATACAGGTGTCAAACACAGTATCTACGGGTCCATTGGTTTATGCTCACTTTGGAGGCTAATTGAGAAAGCAGCACAGAGGAACTAGAAATTTTTACTCCCCACCCCTCAAAACTGGAGTACTTCTAAAATTCCAGCTTGCTTCCGGCTTCTCACTGACAGTCTTTCTCAGCTTGTAACTTTTGGACAGCACTATCAAGGAGCTCCATGGACTCTCTGAGAGTGACATTGATTTTGAATGACTTGGGTTTAATGGTGAGGCCATAATTAAAATCCATTTTTGAGGGCTCGTCTGGATTGGCCTTGAAATTGCACTGGTGGGCCAGGATGGCAATGAAGAGAAATAGCTGTATCTTGGAAAGCTCTTCCCCGATGCAGCGCCGTTTGCCCACTGAGAAAATCATCACACAGCTGGCCAGGTCCTTGTTGAGGAAGCCATCCTTGTCCAAGAACCGAGCAGGATCAAAGTTCTCCGGGTTAGGCCACTTCACTGGATCGTGATTCACTGACCACTGGTTAATAAAAACCACCGTGTCCTTGGGAATATGGTAGCCCAAGACAGAGGTGTTAACAGTGGTGGCATGAGGAATGGTCATGGGCACAAAGCTGGAGAAGCGCATGGCTTCATAAAGAAAGGCCATGACGTAGGGCAGGTGGGGCTGGTCATCCAGGCAGGGCAGACGGTCTCGGCCCACGACCTGATCCAATTCTTCCTGCACCCGAGCCTGCACTTCAGGGTACCTGTTTGGTGTTTAATGGAGAAGGAGGAAACAAGTGAGGAAAATTCATTCTTCTTTCATCTAGAAAGCACATTACAATTGATTTTAATCCCACTTTATTTATCTGAATCAGTGACTGAATTTCTAGCCCAACAAAATTAAAACAATCTTCTAATGTCTCACTAAATTACAAGATGGGTAAATGAATAGTTATATTTCCTCTAATAAGCCTCACATGGTTAACGCTCTCTTTCCCAATGTAAGTAAAAAAAAAACAAAAGTCTAAATGTTCTCAGCCTGAAGAAGAAGCACAGTAACGGTCCAGGCCAACTTCTCTGTCAGGCACAGGAGGCTCAGTGCCTAAGGCTCACAATACCCACGAAGATGGTTTTATTACTTTTAAAATCAAAGGGAAAAATGAACTGTTAGGTTAAGTAAAATGTTTAAATATGTAATTTAAATATCTTTATCTTTAGACCTATGTAGTCATAAAATACAATTTTAATTTTTTTAATTTTTTATGGAGGATGGCATCTACAAAGACGGAAGCGCTCAGGGCCCATCAATGTTAAAATGCAGCCCTGAAAGAAGATCTTTTATCCCCTCCTCTCCCTACTGTTCTCATTTTATACAAAGATAGATAAAGCTTCATACAACGTATCTTCTCAATGTAAAAGCAAATTTTCAATGTTCATGAGATTATGGTACAAATTACACTTACTCGCTGTTGGTGATAATAACCTAGCACAATCCTTTCGGGGGGGAAAAAAATCTTAGTACAAAGCAAGATCCATAAGGGTAACCCCTCCCCACTCTTTTTAATTTTTAAAATGTAATCAACAACATTAAAGCTCAAAAAATCATTATGTATAATGATATCTTATTATGGCAAAATAGTAATGTGACCATCAAAAATTACTAAGGTGGACACTTGCGATCTATCAATAAAATGAAATTTTAAAAGTTTTTTTAATTACCAAAATAAAGTTTAAAGTTTAAAAAAAATGTTCATTACAATAAGTGGAAATGTCAGAAGTAAAAAAAGTATGTAAATAATTATTGCATCTCTGAAAAACATTTAAACGTGTGTGATGAAATTATGGATGATTTTAAAGATTGCTACATTAGCATCACACTACAGGGGTTTGCAAACTTCTTCATAAAAGGCCAGATATCTAAATATTTTAGGCTTTGCAGGCAAACCCTATCTGTTGCAACTCTTCAGCTCTGCCTTGTGCTATAATGTGAAAGCAGCCATAGACAATACATGAATATATTTTATGAATTTTGATAAAACATATATACAGAAGTAGTTAATGTAATCTGCCAATCCCTGTCATATTGTCTTTTCACTAAAAATAAGAACAATGTGCTCACCAACTATATTGAATTGAAAGTGACCCTAAAATTGTTTTATTTTCCTTCGCTGTGTCTAATGATTAGGAAAGTCTGTTTCAAAAGATAGCATGCTTATCTGGGGATGCTAAGGACCCACTGATCCCATTTTGGGATGTCTTCTTCCTGATGTATTACTGACTTCTCTTTATTTTATTTCTGCTCCCCACCTCCCTCATAGGTGTTTCTATGATCATAATACTGATAGCGATTTTAAATATACGAAAAATTCAATTTGTGAAAGCAGCCGTACAATATCTAAGGGTTGCAGCGTTGAAGTGCAACACTAAGAAAAGAAGCCGTCGTTGCCTTTCAGTTTCTGAGGCGCCAGCAAATTTCAGCATGCCCCACCGCTGACTTGTGCGCCAAGTAATAGCACAACCAGGATTTCTGGTCTCTCCAGGCAATCAAGATTTGCTTGAGCGAGACACTTGCCCCTGGGGTAGAGTTGCCAGACAAAATACAGGCCTCCCAGTTAAATCTGAAGTTCAGATAAACAATGGCTAGCCTTTTGGTATAAGTATGTGCTATGTAAAACTTATTTATTTGCTAAATCTGGCAACAACCGATACTGGGAACCTGCTTGAGTGTGTGCACACAACTTTGTAGAGGTCCGCGACTTTAATCAACGTGGGCACTGGGGATCAGCCAACCAACGGAGCCCGGCCGGCCCCTGGGGCCAGAGGGGTAGGTATTACAGCGATCTCCTGGATACCCGGTTTGTCTTTCTGAATGCTGCTCTGCGCTCGGTAAAAGTGACTGCTTCTCCGGTTCTTTACCGACACTTCTCTTACTCCTAGCGCGGCGGTTTGTTTGATAAACCCAGCACAACCAACTGACTTCTCGCTGCGTTCCTAAAGCTTCCATGAGGGTAAACCGTCTGGGTATCCAGGTCTGCGGGCCGCGGGGCTGCCCTCAGAGTGCTTTCCTGTGCCCGAGAACAAAGCCGGGACGTGCGCTGGCTTTTAGCGCAGGGCTGGCGCCCTTAAATCCGCCCCGAAGAATGGCAGAGCCGACTAGGGTGCTTTGTTTATTTAACATATTGACTACATTACCCTTTCTTTCGGAACCGTTCCAATTTTGCTTCTATGCCAGGGAGGAAGAGATTGGGGCTGATCCGCGGGCACTTTAAAAATCTTGTTTTTCCAAGAGGTTTCTCACAAATTCGTCTCCACTCGGACAGATAGCGACAAGATCAGAGAGGTGGAGCGGACCGGGCCCGGCTGGGTGGGATGGGCGCGCACACGTGTCTCGGCCCGCAATGTGCCTTCCTGAGCTGCGCTTTTGGGACACGATCTGATTGGAGAGGTTGGAGACCTACAGCGAAACCCTCCTACGCTGGTTGCGGCCTCAGCCTAACCTAGTACCACTGGGCCTTTTATTGGAAGGCCCGACCAACGCCTCCTGGAGGCTTTACCTGGTGAAAAGGATGAGCAGCCACTGTAGCGCGGTGGAGAGAGTGTCCTGGCTGGCGCCGAAGATGTCAGTGATTGTGGACGGCATATACTCCACGTCCAGCCGCGCGTCGCCGGAGCCCTCGGCCGCCTCCTTTCCCACGGAGAGGATGACGGCGTCCATCATATCGCGGGGGTCCGCCCCGGGCCGAAGGCTTTCGCTGTGCTTCAGAAACTTGTCGAGGACGAAGTTGCTGAAATTGCGGTTGAGCTGCTGGAATTCGCGGAAGGCGGTGCGCACCGGGTTGGGGAAGCGCTGCAGCCAGGGCATCACGTCTACCAGGCTGCCCGCCGCCACCGTGCGCCCGAACTCCTCGTTGTGGCTGAGCAGCTCGCGGAATTCGGCGTCGTCGTGGCTGTAGCGACAGCCAAAGCACACGGCGCTCATGACATTGGCTACGGCCACCACGGTCAGCGGCCGCGGGTCGAGGAAGTCGCCGCCGGCGCTGCCGCGTACCAGCAGCTCCACCAGCTCACGCGCCTCGCCTAGCAAGTGGATCTCGAGGATGCGGCGACTGCGCGGCTGTCGCGCGGAGAAGGCGCGCATACTGCTGTGCGCTGCGCGCCGCTGCGCCTTCCAGCGCTCCGAGTACTGGCCAAAGGCCAGGCTGAGGCCGCCAGACACCACGCGGAAAGAGTCGAAGCGCGGCCGGTCGGCGAAGGCGGAGCCCTGATGCACCAGGGCCTGGCGGATCGCGCGATCGCTGTTCAGCACCACCACGGGGCAGCTACCCAGTCGGATCTGGAAGACATCGCCGTAGCGCTGCGCCAGGCGCGCGAAAGAGAGGTGCGGCGCGGAGCCCAGGGACGCGGCGTTTCCGATCAGCGGCCACGCAAAGGGTCCAGGGGGCGCGGACCCCGACTGCCGCCGCCTCTGCCTCAGCAGCCACTGGCCCACGTGCACGGCAGCCAGCACGGAGAGAAGCAGCAGGAGCGTGGTCTGCTGGGCGGACAGCGAGAGCGGCAGCAGAGGATCGTCCAGGCTGAGGCTGGTGGCCATGCTGGAGAGAGGAGGGCAAAGGCGTGACACTCAGGTGTGCAGAAAAAGGAGCAGGCGCCCCATGCCCCTACCGCCGGCCTCGAGCTGCTCTGAACTGTTGGGCAGGGAGGCCAGACCTAGGTCACGTCAGGGCTGCCTCACTGGAGAAGCGGCTGAGGACGTCCCTTCCCATTTCAAACCCACTCCCCAAAGGAGAAGGAGAGGGGCGTGTAGCAGCTTCTCTGTGACTCAGCCTCAAGCCCCGGTCCCCAACCGCGTAACGGTTCCTGCAATTCCGAGACAACACGGCGGGCATCGAGGCAGTGGCGCTCAGCTCCCGCTAAGTACCTATCATCCCAGCCCCGACGTCTCATCCCACCCGTGATCTACGAGAACCCAAGAAAAGAGGCCGCGGGGGGCGGGGGGCGGCTCGGCGGACAGACTGACCTGCGAGGAGGCGTAGTTTCCAGCGGCACGCGACTGCCTGTTCCAAGAGCAAAATGCCAACCTGAGTGTCTCCAGGAAATAGGAGGCCCGCCCCGGACACCTGCTGCCAGCTCTGGGAGCTTTAGCACCCACTCTAGAGTGTCCAGGCGTCGTCAGAGCCAGGGGCACTTGGATTGGGTTGGGGACGGAGAAAGGTGCCTCCTCTGCCGAGCCCCGGCTGCACCTGGGGCCTCGGTAAAGTCGGGGTTTTCTCACAGCGGGGGATGGAGGTTGGGGTCGATGAGTGGAGGCAATCGCCAGCCCTAACGCCCCTTGCGTGGCTCTGACAGCTGGAGTCGCAGAGGCGTGGCCCAAATGCACACAGCCACTCCAGAGAGTCAAAACGCGCCATCCCGTTTTTAAAGTCTGTTTAAGAGGGAGGAGGCAGGGGACCTGGCGGAGGCGGGGCTTAAGGAGGGCTGGGCGAGGTGCGTCTGGACTGTCCTGGCGGCTCCGACTCCTACTGGGGCCGCCGCGCGCGGTGGTCACGCGAGGTGGCCCCGGCGTGCCTCGACGGCATTGGGGAAACAGCCCGTGGCTTTACTAGAAGCGGCGGTCTGGGCTTTTGGTTTGCCCCCAAATCGCTGTTAGTCATTGTCAATCCCAATCGTGGCCACACGGGTTTCCCGGAAGCGCACTCGGGACAGAAGCTGCCCATCCCGCTGAGCTCTCCGTGGGAGCGCTCCCCGAAGTCCCCTTCCCTCCCAGTCACTTGAACTTCATTCCCCGAGAGAACACTGCTCTGAATCCTTGAGGGCCCGGGCTAGAAAAAGAAACCTGTCAATTTGGAAAAGAAGATAGTTCGGTTTGTGGTGGCGGTTTGCCTTCCAACCTCCCTAGTTATTTTATCTTAATGTTCTCGAAAACAAATGGCCCGCAAACGAAGCCCTTTGGCGCACAAAGTTCTCCTTCCACCTCATGCAGCGAGATGAAGAATCCCTGAAAGACGCCTCTCCCCCGCCCCGGGGACCCGACTGTCCTTGACACACAAAGGCCAGCTCTGGTAGGGCGCAGCTGGCCCTGACCGAGATTTCCATCGTAGAAGCTCCTCCAGGTGGCGCCGGCCACTCGAGGACTCCGGGTGGCGCTGGCCGCGTCCTTGGCGCTGGGCCCAAAACAAGCTGGCGCAAACACCAGGGTCTGGAGCGGAGGGAGGGCTCTCCGAAGATTCCCGGAGGGAGGAGGGGAAAGAGGGGGAGGAAGAAAATTGCCGCACGCCTGCGAACTTTTATCGAGTTGAAGTTTGCTTTGCTGTCGCCTCCCCCTTGCGTGCAGAGCTGTGCCTTGCGTGCGCGGCTTCTGGAAAGTCGACTGCAGTCATATCCCTCGGCGCTTCTCACGGCACCTGACACGCTGGGCGGCGGCCGAGGGCGGGGTGGGGGCCGCCACCACCCACAGAAGCGCACGCACAGCTGTGCCCGCGGAGCCAACGAGGCAGACGTTCCCGTCCGCCCCAGATCTGGGCGTGCGTGCGTTGGAGATGGGAACGCTTCTTTCAATTGGGAAGCCGGAGGCATCAGGGCCCGCAGTGGTCTCCCGGCTGGCTGTACCCTTTCCTACTGGCTAGTACAAAGTATTTTTAAGAGAAAAGGTCTTCTCAGCAAGGCTGGGGAAAGGGCGAGCTCGTGGGAGGGGTGGGCTGTATCTTAGTTAACACGGGAAGAATTGTATCTCCGGATCTCCGGAGTCAATGTGTGCGTTTACCACGTGACAACCCTGTGGTTTGAGCTTTACCAGCAGTGCGAATATCTGCTGTTTCTCCGTTTACAGAGGAGGAAAAGGAGTTCAGAGAGGTTATGTGACTTACCCGCACTATCAATCAAGAGGTGGAGCCAGGATTTGAACCCACGGGAGTCCCACTCCAGATCCATCACACAAGTTTATGCGGAAGGAAATCCTCAGATAATAGGCACACATGCCTCCTTTCCTGTCTGCCCTCCCAATCTCTATGCCTTTAAAAAAAAATCAGCTGGAAGAATTTTAAAAATTTAATTTTCAATTACAGTTGACATACAATATTATATTAGTTTCAGGTGTACAACATAGTGATTAGACATTTATACACCTTAGGTAGTGATCACCCTGGAATAATTTTTTTAATAGTTGTTTACAGAATTCAGGTTTCTGAGGATTGCATAGAAGAAGTAGTGTGTCATCCTTTGCAGTTAAATTGGTTTTGAATGAGGGAGACCTATGGACTGTGCCTCCTAGCTGATGTTTGAATATGGTTAAATTTTAAAGAAAAACAAAGGGGTGTCTGAAAAAGAATCTGACTTCTTGAGACACTGAAATCAACAATAAAATATCTGAGCTGACAGGAAAACGCCTTTTTTTGTAAAACTTCATTTGGTAGCTTTTGAGAGGTTCTCTGCAAATTATTTCACACATCATGATGGAGTACTCATATCCACAATGAAGTTAGTGTTTGAGCAACTGGTTAAATAAGCAATGGTTTCCCAGTGCTGTGTTGGCCTACATATCCTTTGAAATGAGTTTCATAACCACCTTACAAGGTCCAGCTTTAGCAAGACCCCTGCCTAATAATTCAAAACTTATGCATGCATCGGTCTCTCATTGGACTGTAATTTGGTGGACAGATATTGTCTGTGGTTGAATGCCAATTCTGAGCTATCAAGATTCCTGAAAGCCTTTATCACAGTATTTCCCCCAGAATCAGAGCAGATGGAGGTTCCCTTTTACCAAGTAAATTTCTACCTTAAAAAGTATAAAGCAAGGCTGTTCCTAAGACCTCCTGCTTGATTCCTGAATGTCATATCGTTTTTAGATAAACTCAGTTCATGCCTTCCTGCCATAGCAAATAGTTCAAGCATATCCTCCAAGCTATTGGTACCTTGAGCTTAGCTCTTGTTCTGGGACGTGCCTTACAAAGACAGAAGAACCAGATGAGCAAATGCTGTCAGAAAGATAAGCACTTATCAATTATGACAAACCAAAATGACTGGCTATGGTTACATCTTCAGAATCTGCCAGCCTCAGGCTCCCCAGGCTTTGTGGTGCAGGCCTCTGTTGCAGAGCCCATCTGGTGCCTGATGAAGATATAAGGTAAATCCAAAGTGGCCTGTGAGTACCCCTGACCCAGCTCAAGGTGAGGCCCTCCCTTGAGTGAAAATTCAAACCAGGCTTTTTCATTCTTATCACAACTTCTCAACCAAAGTCAGTATCTAGGCTCAGGGATCTCATTTCAGGCAACAGTACAGAATATGGAGATTTCATCTTTCCAAATCTGAAACTTAAATTGTTTGCTGCAAATAGCTTTTCAAAGAACAGCTAAGCTAAAGAGAGTTTAAAGTAGAGGTTTAAAATACCTTGTATTGTATTGATTCCAAACAACAGAAATCCAGCTTATGGTTGTTTAAGCAGGACAGGAATGCCCTGGCTCCTGTGCTGGGAAGGAGAAATGTGGTACCTTATAGATGGAGGGACCTGGGCTGCTCCCCTCCCCATCTCTATCTATGCTGGTCTCTCCTTGGGCTTTGTTCTGCAAACTCTCCACGTGGTGAGAAAGCTGGCTATAGACAGCGTCAAAAGAACCATCCCAAGAAAAAGAGAACATTTCTCTTCCAAAGTCATTCATTTATACGGCCCCCTGCAAGAACTCCAACATGCCAGTTTGGCATCAGGCCACTGCTGTCTAGGATTGTTACAGAGAAAGAGACTTGGGGAGGGGGGACCATGTTAGGGAAGCCAAAGATAACAGCTCGATCAGTCTGCATGTATCCACTGCTGTTCATTGCTCTCTTTTGGGTTGGAAGATAGCCCAAACTATTATTATTATTATTATTATTATTATTATTATTATTATTATTATTATTATTATTTTAAATCAACAAGTGAGATAGATACATTGCTCCTGGAGTCAATAGCCAAGAAAGCTCAGCCCTTATGTCACCAAGCTAAAAGTTAATTTTCTTTCTGGGCTTTCTCTCTAGAATATGTGTATTGATTTTATGAGTAAACACCGCTCTTCCAACCTCCTTCAAACGCACGTACACATGTGCACTGAAAAGAGACTGGGGTAGAAGCACAATCTCTGGCCAGTCCTTGATGTGTGGGGCTGGACAGGAATCAGTAATCAGACATATCCTGGAAGGCAGGAAAAACAGGAATAAAAAGACATACCAAGTGTCCAAGGTGACTGAGAGTATGACAGAGGGGGACACTGTAGGATATTGCACACCACATGCTGGATGGAGAGGACACTGAAGGGTTAATACCAAAACCCTGTGCCCCATTGACTTGCTTTTGCTTCCTTCCTCCTGATAATAAACAGGCTGAGAAGCACAGAGTTAAAAGGTAGATCTTATTTCATCTAATCTAAGAAGCTATCATCTGTAGGGATACACCATTATTTTATGTACTAATTAATACAACAGTCGGGGGCTGCCAACGGTGATTACACCATTGATTGTAAGACATATTCTGATTTCAGAGATGTTAAAATGTTATTTTTTTTTAAATGTTGTTCATAGTTCTTTTCCCAAACATTTTTCTTTAAACTTTATTGGGGAACAGTGTATTTTCCCAGGACCCATCAGCTCCAAGTCAAGTCGTTGTTTTCAATCTAGTTGTGGAGGGCACAGCTCACTGGCCCAGGTGGGAATCAAACCAGCAACCTTGGTGTTATGAGCGCCACGCTCTAACCAACTGAGCCAACTGGCAGCCCAAGATGTTATTTTTAAAAGTGTGTTTTAGAGTCGATGACACACTATGCATGCTCCCAAAGGTCCTCTAGACCTTTACCTTTGTACTAAGCAGTGGTAGTCCTGAGGTTTCTTGGATGGGGCATTTGGGGCCAGGAAGGTTACCTCCCAAGCCATCTCCCTTCCATTAACGTTACTTGATGTGGACAATTGATGTTTTTCTAATCCTATGTAAAGTGTGGATAGAAGCTGCTTTGGAAGATCTTGCTAATTTTATCACCTAAATAAATCTAAGAAAAAGACAGTCATTTACTAAATCAGTGCAGCTTAAGACAAGTTTCTTACTCCCCCTTCCAGCTTGATTGCCCCATAAACTCTTTCCATGAAGCCACCGAGATACACTGTATTATTCTAGTTTTCCATCAAAATATTTTCATACGTATTTAGAAGTAAAGGGACATCATTGTCTGCAACTTACTCTCAAATGGTTCGAGGAAAAAAGACACAGAGAGGGAGTGAGAGAGAGGAAAATGGTAAAACAAACGTGATAAAAATTATTCAGAATTGGAGAATTTGGGTAAATGAGAGTTCTTCGTGATGTTCTTGCACCTTGTCTGTAAGCTTGACATTATATCAAAATTAAAAATTACTAAAAATAAAAAAATAAGAGCATAAGAAAGCAATATTTTCATAACATTTTGAATTTACATTGTCCTCTCAGCTTTTATTGGGTGTCTTACAAGAAAGGACGGTAAAAAGAACCTGAATGATGGATTCATATGTCGTTCAGTGCCCTCCATCTGACATGTCATTCTCGGAGATCAGAGCTAAGAAAAAGTTTGTGCTCAATTGCAGTCGTTTTCCCCAGCACAATCTGATATGACTTCACCTTCTTGGCTGCCCTTGCACTTTGAATATTTGAATGTATCTATGTCTTTTATTGTAAGCCTCCTTCAGTTCCTTTTGAAAACAGAAGAAATAGAGAGTATCTGCCTTACTTTCGCTGTGTCCTTGTTTTAAGGAGATAATCCACTTACAGTTTCCTGTGCTTCATAAAACATAGAGAGTGGTGCAGTTTTCCAATTGCTTCTTCCTGCTTCCTTTAGTTTCCTTCCCTCTCTGCCTTTTTTCTTCCCCTGGCTCTTCTTTTTTTCTTCTTTCTTCTCTCCTATTCTTTCTCACCCTCCCTTTCCTGGGATCCATTCTTATCTCTTCCTCATCCTTGGAGACCTCCGTTCTTTCCTCTAGCTGCCACCATCTCTGCTAACCTTTCTTCCTTTCTCTCTACATTCTCCTGGTTACCTTTTCTCTCTCAAGGAAGAGTAAAGAGTAGGGGCCGAGGAGGAAGGAGAAGTGGGAGTGAAGAAAGGAAGAAAAAAGAATCAAGGAGCTAGAACAACTAAGAAAAGGAAAAGGAGCAAAATATGACAGACCAGTACTAAAAGATAACCTTGGTGATCATTTAGTCTAGTCTCTCAGCCAATCCATGAGTGCTTCCTGCTCAATGTTTGTGGGGTGAAGCTCTCACTAACTCAGGAAGGACAGTGATGATTTCATAACACGCAAAGGTCTGTAATTGCTTCTGCACATTTGTTCCTGGTGCTTCAACTACCACCCATCCAGTTCTGAACTTCACCTTTCTAACAGTGGAACCAGGAGCCTACTGTCCACTACTTTGGTCAACAGAGAAAAACTTCAC